ATAAAAAATTACCCTAATCCCAAGCTTTGTCGCCCGGCGAAGGGATGAATCGTTGGAGGGAGTCCAGCGACTAGGGCGTCAACACCGGGGGGGGTTTTAAGGGGAAATTAAAATATGGACATGTCGAACAAAACAAAAACTACCCGGGAGGGTCCCGCTTGCGGGGAATCCCTTGGTGGGTCGGACAGCCGGCCCATCGGCCCCATTGTATACGGGGGGGCCATTCGCCATGTGAGGGAGGAGAAGTTAGGATCGGATGGAGGAGAGAGGATGGGAAGATTATCGGACTCGGAGGAGTCAGACAGCAGGAGCTCCATGATAAGCGTGTCCAGTCGCTTTGGCTCCATGGAGTCTCTGGACCATGACGGTCCAGGAAGGTACTGGAGTGAGGGACGCGGCCAGAAGCGGCCTAGAGACCTGGAGCTGAGTGGCAGCTCCACAGATACCCCCGCTAAGGGGCGTAGCAAAAGGAGAGGACGAGGTCGCCCGCCAACTACTGGCGAATATGTCGGGCTGGCAGCAGCAAAAGAGTCCCTACGAAAGGCGACGGAAGCAGAGATTAGGGCACGAGCCGAGGCGGAGCTCCTTGAGTCAGTGGTAGAAGCCCGCAAGACTCGCTCGATCCTGGCTATCGCAGGCTCATCACATGATGCGAGAACTGCAGAAAACGAAGACACGGCGACTACCGTCCTCAAGCGGATCGAGACCAGTCTCGAAGTCGTCGAGAAGGTGGCAAAAAAGTCATCTAATCTTAAAGGAACTTTCGTACGCGCTCTACACGACGCCGTAAGTGCGATAAAAGAAGACGTCGCTGGCCTGGCGCAGAGGTCGACATCCGAGGAGACGCGTGCCTTGCAGGCTGACAACACCCGCCTGCAAGCCGAGATGTCCAGCCTCCGCAAGGAGCTGGCTGACATACGCCAGGAGATGGAGCAGGCGCGGAAACAGGGGTCCGCCAACGCCTGCATGGAGGTGACGACGGAAGCCGTCCCTGTCCGGCCCCCGGAAACACGAACAGAATCCTCCCTAGAGGACATCTGCCGGGCGGTGATGATCCAGGTGGGCGGTATGCTGAATGCCCGCCTGGCTGCCTTGGAGGACAGGCTGCTTCCTGAGAGAAACCTGCGGCCATCATTGGCGTCTGACAGGAAAAAGGAAGCCCGCACATTTGCTGCTGCAACCGCGAAGCCCACGCCTGCACCAGCCCCGGATGCTAGGGAAACAGTTGGAATTGAAGAGCCCTCGGTGCCATCTCAACCCGGCCCCAGCGGACTCACGCGCCAAGCGCCCACGGTGCAGCCCAAAAAGGGCAAGAAAGCCTCCAAAAAAGGAGCGCTTAAAAAGAAGAAAACTCGGCCGACGACTGGCGTGAACCTGAGGTCCTCCCCCGTCGCCCCCGTAACATCATCAAGTGCCCTTCCTCCCCGCCCTCTTAATCCGGACGCGCTTGAGGAAAATTGGGTAACGGTTGGGAGAAATGGAAAGGCGCAACGGTACAAACCGAAAGCGGCCCCCGTGCAGGCATCTACATCTGCGCCTGCACCGCCGTCGCCGCAAAGACTAAAAGTACCAAGAAGCGCTGCTGTAGTCGTGACGCTCACCGAAGCGGCCATCACGAAGGGGCTGACGTACAGCGGCATCCTTAGGGAAGCGAAGTCAAAGATCGACTTAAAGGAGGTGATAGGCGTCGAAGCGGTGCAATTCCGTCGGGCGGTGACCGGTGCCACTATCATCCGCATCCCCGGCGCCACTAGCGCCCCTAAGGCAGATATCTTGGCACAAAAACTCCAAGAACTTTACCAGGACGACAACATCAAGGTCTCCAGACCGGAGAAATTAATCGATGTTAAGATCGAAGGTCTGGACGACTCGACGACACCTGAGGAGGTAAAAGCAGCAATCATTCGGAAAGCAGCATGTGCGGGCGACCAAATTAAAACTGGCCGACTCCGCCAGAACAGGTCAGGGCTATATGACATCTGGGCCCAGGTCCCTGTGGCAGCAGCGAAGAAGCTGACGACGGGCCGTTTCTTGGTGGGCTGGGTGGCCGCAAAAGTCACCATCGGCAGACCCAGGGAGCTGCGCTGCTATCGCTGCCTGCAGCAGGGGCATGTGGCCAGCCGCTGCGATGCGGAGGATCGCAGTCGGGCCTGCTACCAATGTGGTCAGGAGGGTCACAAAGCTGCGTCCTGTCCGTCGCAACCAAACTGCATCCTGTGCAAAGCGGCGGGTAAGGACGCCAAACACCGGTTGGGAAGTGTCAAATGCTCGGCACCCAAAAGATCGGTCCCAAGAAGAGCACTAGTTAATGTAGCGAACAATGCGCCCCCACCGAGCGGGGAAGAAATGGAAGTAGTGGAAGTCGCTCAAGATTGATGGCCCTACGACTTCTTCAAGCAAACCTCAACCACTGCGCCAGAGCCCAGGATTTGTTTATCCAAAGCCTGGCGCAGTGGTCAATAGACTTAGCGGTGACATCTGAGCCATACCTGGTCCCGGACAGAAACAATTGGGTGGGGGATCTTAACCAACTAGTCGCGATATACGCAGGCGGCACCCCCCCAATTGTTTCCACCAGAAGAGGAAGAAGTTGCGTAGGAGTCAAACTTTTCGGCATCGCTTTAATCGGTGTATACTTCTCGCCAAACCGTTCGCTGACAGACTTCGAGGAATATCTAGACGAAGTCAGTTCTTTCGTCCAGTGGGGAAGACCGCTCGCGGTTGTCGTGGCTGGGGACCTGAATGCGAAGTCGAGGGCATGGGGATCCTCCGTCACGGACAGCCGCGGCGAGGTTCTATTATCGTGGATGGCGCAACACAACCTGACGCCACTCAATACGGGCTCCGTACACACCTGCGTGCGCATGCAGGGCGGGTCTGTCGTAGATGTCACCCTTGCGAGTCCCGCCCTGGCATGTCGCGTACGGGACTGGGAAGTGTTGACTGAGGTGGAGACGTTATCGGACCACCGCTACATTCGGTTCGATATTCTCCCCTCGTCAACACCCCCGACCAGTCGGAGCACCGTCACTCCCCAGGAGATTGGACAGATGTGGTCACTGAGATCCTTAGACCGAGAGGCAGTCGAACTCGCCGCCATAGTGGGAACGTGGTCTCACAGGATGGAGGATAAAGGTGTCGACGACGGAGTGCGATGGCTTGGCGAAGTCCTGGCGCACATCTCGGACTGCGCCATGTCCAAAGTTCGGCCGTCGCCGCGGCGACCAAATCGAGTGTACTGGTGGTCGGACAACCTTTCGCAGTTGCGTTCCGCTTGCGTGCTTGCCCGCCGCCAGTACACTCGATATCGAAGAAGACGCCCTGGATGGGAGGAGTCCGAAGAACGGCGTCTCTACACCGGATACCAGGAGGCCAAAAAGGCGCTCCGGGGTGAGATCGCCGCTTCCAAGGACCAGGCCTGGGAGGAGTTTTTGAGTACGCTAGAGGTGGACCCATGGGGCCGGCCGTATAAGCTTGTCATGAGCAAGCTGCGTCCCTGGGCTCCACCACTCACCTCTACGCTAGATCCGACACTCCTATCATCTATAGTGTCGGCACTCTTCCCTCCCAGCGCCCACAACACCGGATTGGACTTTCCCGACTCGGTACCTCCCGGTTCTGTCCCGGGGGTATCCGAGTCGGAAATAAACTTGGCTAAGATGAAAGTGCAGGGCAAGCGCACCGCCCCAGGACCCGATGGGATTCACGGGAAGGTGCTTGCCCTGGCACTCAACCACGGCTTAGACGAACAACTCAGGACATTACTAACTAAGTGCCTCGAGGAAGGAAATTTCCCTACCAAGTGGAAGACGGGAAGGTTGGTCCTGCTGAGGAAACCTGGAAAACCTGAGCACTCACCATCAGCCTATCGCCCGATAGTGCTGCTCGATGAGGCCGGCAAGTTATTGGAGAGGATAATTGCCGGTCGCATTCTTGAACACCTATCCTCAGTGGGACCAGACCTGGCCGACGCTCAATACGGGTTCAGGCGGCACCGGTCTACGATCGACGCGATTTCAAAACTTCGAAACATCTGTGAAGAGGCGAAATCCCAGGGTGGGGTATCGATAGCGGTGTCGCTCGACATCGCTAACGCGTTCAATACCCTGCCCTGGGACAGTATAATGGCGGGACTCGAACACCATGATGTCCCCCTGTACCTGCGACGCATCATCTGTTGTTATCTGCGGGACAGGAAGATTGTGTTTAACACTCAGAACGGTTGGGAGAACTATAACATCTCGTGTGGAGTTCCACAGGGGTCGGTCCTAGGGCCGCTCCTGTGGAACCTTGGCTACAACACCGTGCTGCGGGGTGCGCTCGTCCGTGGAGTGCATCTTATATGCTACGCGGAC